CCGCTCGCTACACCCCCGCGGGCTCCCTTGTCCGGCCCGGCCCTTCGTTCCCCGCTCCAGCCCGGCTCCGGCATGAACGTGAGCCGGGCGTTTCGCCTCGGGGCCTGGCGGAAGAGTTCGGTTCTGGGTGCTCTGTGTTGTGTTACCGGTTCGGGGCAGAGCGTGGGTCACGTACTGCCGAGAGCCTTCATTTCTCAACCCCGTTCCCTTCACGTGTGTAGGCTCCTCGTGTGGAGCAGCACAACCGCACCTGCCACCAGCCACGGTTTGGTGCGATAATCACCACTGACGAGGCTCCCCTCCCCCGCAGCGTTATCCACCATCGCATCCTGGCCCCGAATCGCTAACCTCCGAGCACCCGCCCCTCTGAGCCCATCGCTAGCCCCTGCAGCGCCTGGCCGAGCCCCAGAAACCTCGTTTGCTGGATCCTGCAGGAGTTGTGACAAAGGACAAGGCAGCGGTGCGCTGGCTCCGCCCGAGCCAAGTTCCAGATCAGCGTCCGGCGTCACGGTCGACTCTTCCACATGCTCTGACGTCCACGCGGCTACTCGGAGTGCCTCGAAATGTGCTGTGCCTCATGGGGCTGCGGGGTACAGCCAGTGAGCCAAGTTTGGGGTCGTTTGGGTTCCTGAGATGCCGTCACCTCCCCCCCAAAAAACCCTTTTCTTCAGGTTGCCCGATTCTATCAAAACATATTGTGCAGAGCTGGGGATCAAACCGTGGCCCTGATTGTGGCCTGTGTGGTCTGAATCACGGCACATCTACCCCAGCTAGCGCACGGCACCCACTGCGTCTCAGGGGGAGCGCCTTGCAAACCGATCGCAGGAAGACGTTGGTTCTCCAGCTAGCCGCGTGGCTAACGCTCCTGCACTGAGCAGATACCGGGCCCGTGTTTTCTAGCCGCCTGCGCCAGCTCTCGCTGCAGCTGGGTGGTTTCAGGGGGTGACTCACACCCAGCCGGGGTCAGCCCCACATGCTCCCCCCACCATGGGCGCCAGGATCTGGGGAGACCTCGCCTCTCTGCAGGTCTGAGCCCTCGAGCTCCGTCCTCTCGGGAACCCCCTTGCAGGTAGTTGAAAGCAGCTTCAAATCCCCCCTCATTCTTCTCTTCTGCAGACTAAACAATCCCAGTTCCCTCAGCCTCTCCTCATAAATTATGTGCTCCAGACCCCTAATCATTTTTGTTGCCCTCCGCTGGACTCTTTCCAATTTGTCCACATCCTTCTTGTAGTGTGGGGCCCAAAACTGGACACAGTACTCCAGATGAGGCCTCACCAATGCCGAATAGAGGGGAACGATCACGTTCCTCGATCTGCTGGCAATGCCCCTACTTATACAGCCCAAAATGCCATTAGCCTTCTTGGCAACAAGAGCACACTGTTGACTCATATCCAGCTTCTCGTCCACTGTAACCCCTAGGTCCTTTTCTGCAGAACTGCTGCCTAACCACTCGGTCCCTCGTCTGTAGCAATGCATGGGATTCTTCCGTCCTAAGGGCAGGACGCATGTGGCCCACAATGGTAAACCGGCTGAGATCCCTGCTCTAGGGGGCTGGGAACTGAGTCCCAGCTGAGAGGACCAGCCTTCGATTTCCTGCCCAGCCCCTGTAACTCCTGGCGGAAAACGCCGACGTGGCCATGGAGTGCAGGGGGTTCGGGAGCCGTGACCGAGCTGGTCGGGAAGGACTCCCCGGCTGGGATGGGTGTGTCGGGCTGTGAAAGCGTCTCCCAGGGGGGCAGGACTGGGAACATGTCGGATCAGGCGGGGCCGAGCCCCGGGGTGAGGGCAGGATCCTGCCTTGGGATCGCACAGGGGGTGGGTGAGATGGGCCCGTCGGGGGATTTTCGTATGTCTGGTTTCTGTGGAACAAAGAACTGTCGGAGGGAGGGGCAGTGCCAGGGCTGAGGGGGAGTTTGGGGGCCAAGACAGGGACAGTGGGGGGGAAGGGGAGCTGTGGGTCGGGAGTGGGGGGCACCGGCATTGCTGGGGGAAGACCAGGGCTGGGCTACGCTCTCTAATATGGGGGGTGCCCCCGGTTCCTGGGCAGAGGAAATCCCAACCCTGTTACCCCACTGCCTCATCGTTACCCCGTCACCCAGCGTCTCCGGCACTGCCAGGGACACCCACAACCTGGACTTTGTCGTGGACTCCCAGCCCCCGCCCCCCGGGCTCTCTCGCCCCCGTCCGTGACGGCCCTTCCCAGGGGGCCGCTGGGGCTTGGGGGCCAGGCCCTTTGGCCCTGCTGCCTCCCGCGACCGCCCCGCTGAGCCTGCAGCCGCCTGGCTCTGCCGGGGACCCCGCAGGGAGTCCCCTTGCCCTGACCCCCTCGGGGACCCCCTGAGGGAGCGACGCCCCCCCCCCCCCGATCTCCAGGCTGCAGGGACTCTGCGCCAGTGTCACAGGAGGGCTAGTGAGCGTCTGGGCCCAGCCCGGGCCAGGGGGGCTCCGGCTGCTCCTTGTCCCCCGTCCAGCCGCCCCCCTCCTTCCAGCCGAGCCCCCATGTCCCCTCCCCCGACAGCCCCTTCCCCGCCCTTTGTCCTCAGTCCCAGGCCGCTGCCCCCGCCCTCCTCTCCTTTGTTCCCCCCAGCTGGACCCGAGCTGCATGAGGGGGCCCCCCAGTCACCCGTCACTGGGTCCCCCACCTCCTGGCCGCTGTCTGGGGTCCCGGCACCAACAACCCCCCCCCCACATTGTTACACATGCAGTGCACGGGGAAACTGAGGCACGTGCACCATGCTGCTGCAAAACACCGAGAAAATCCCCCATGTCCTGACAGGGGGGCCTGGGGGCTGCCCTCGGCCCGTTCTCCCAGGATCTGTGGGGCGAGGGGAGCAGCGGGTCAGGCCTGGCAGCTGCCCCCCACCCAAGTTGCAATTCTGGGTGTGCCCCCTTTCCCCTGGGGAGGGCAGGGACTGGCTGGGGGGGGAGAGAGGGAGGACAGGAAACCCCCTGCTGCCAGCTCCTCATTCCCCGCCCTTAGAAACAGCCCCGCCCTCTGTGGTGCCGCCATCTTTGTTACGGGCACCGCCCCCAGCTGGGCTGCGGCCGCCATGTTGGATGTGGGCAGAGGGGTCCTGGCAGCCCCGCCCGGCCCGGCTCGCTGCGCTTGTTATGGGCGGGTCGCGCGGAACCACCGGACACGAGCTGCCCCCCCCGGGACCCCCCCCGGAGCCGGTGTTTACTGTAGGGCCGCCGGGGGGGGGGGCGGCGATCAGGCAGCGCGCGGGGCAGCCCGGGCCGGGCAGGACCCGCTATAAATAGCCCCGCAGCGAGCGCACGTGTCTCTCTGCGCGCCGGGCCGGGCCGGACCGAGCCATGGCGGGGGGAGCTCGGACGCCTGGGTTCCCTCCCGGGGGGTTTCACCTGACTCCCGACCTGCAGCCCCTGTCCTGGGGGGCCGGACCCCGTGTGGGGCGGGACGCTCAGGTGAGGCTCTATGGGGGGGGCGAGATCCGACCAGAGCCTCCAATGGGAACAGGGGTTCGCGGCCACCTGCTCCCCACGGCTGGGAGCCCGGACGCCTGGGTTCTCTCCCGGCTCTGGGAGGGGAGCGGGGGCTAGTGGGTTAGAGCAGGGGGGGCTGGGAACCAGGACTCCTGGGTTCTCTCCCCGGCTCTGGGAGGGGAGTGGGGGCTGGTGGGTTAGAGCTGGGGGCTGGGAGCCAGGACTCCTGGGTTCTCTCCCCGGCTCTGGGAGGGGAGTGGGGGCTGGTGGGTTAGAGCAGGGGGGGCTGGGAACCAGGACTCCTGGGTTCTCTCCCTGGCTCTGGGAGGGGAGGGGGGGTTGGTGGTCAGAGTGGGGGGCTGGGAGCTGGGACTCCTGGGTTCTCTCCCTGGCAGGGGGTAAATGCTCTGTTGGTGATTTGCAGGCGGTGGTGATGTGCGGCGCTGGAGCTGAGGACTTCGGGGCATGTGGGTAAGTCCCGGCCCCTCACTCCCGGCTGGGCTGGGTCCCCCCTCCCCTGTCTCCTTCCGGGGGCCGTTGCGATGATGAATCTGCTAGACTAGAGTCTCTGACCCCCAGTGACGATATTCGCAGCGCCCTGAGCAACGGTGCCCCTCACTCCCGACCCGCAGCCCCTGCCAGCCCAGCGCTGAGCTGTACTAATCAGTATTTTCATTAACGATTTGGCGAATGAGCGGGAGGGTGATGAACTGAGCTGGGGGGTTGCCAGCCCTAGGGAGGCCAGGATCTTGAGCGATTGGAGAATGGGTCTGAATTCAACCAGACGAAAGTCCGTAAAGAGACGTGCAAAGTCCATCCCTTGGGAAGGAGAAATGCCGAACACGGAGCCGGGCCAGGGGGCCATCCTGCCGGAAAGGGTCTGGGGTCAGAGGGGGCACAAATAGGGGATGAGTCAACGGTGAGATACAGCAGGTGGCGTTCTGCCTTGGGAGGGGGTGGGGTTGGCCTGGGAGGATAGGGGGGTGTCTCTGGAGCTCAGACCAGACTGGAGTGTCTAATGAGAAATCAGGCAGGTCTGACCTGCTCCACACCCTTTGGGGGGGGGGGGGGGGGGCTGGTGGGTTAGAGCAGAGGGCGAGGGGTGCTGGTGGGTTAGAGCAGGGGGGCTGGGAGCAAGGACTCCTGGGTTCTCTCCGTGGCAGGGGGTAAATGCTCTGTTGGTGATTTGCAGGCGGTGGTGATGTGCAGCGCTGACGCTGAGGACCCCGGGGTGTCTGGGTAAGTCCCTGCCCCTCACTCCCCTCCCCCCGGCATGTCCTGTGGGGCTGTTGCGATGATGAATCCGCTAGACTAGAGTCTCTGACCTCCAGTGACGATATTCGCAGCGCCCTGAGCAACGGCCCTGCTGGTGCCCCTCACTCCCCACCCGCAGCCCCCTCTCAGGATGCTAACCCTCTGCTCTGTTCCCCCAGGGCTGGATTCTCGCCCCATGTCTATCTCTGACATGAGCCCAGCGTGGTGAGACCCCCGGGGTCTCTGGATGGAGAGCCCATGGCCAGAGCAGTGCGGTGGCAGGGTAAGGAGTGGGAAACCAGAGATATGGGGGGGGGGGGCTCTCCCTGGCAGGCAGTGTTGGCGGGACTCTTAGGGTCCTGTGCTTCTGGGAGTAGAGGGGTTGAGTTGGGGGGCCCTGATCCGGGGAGCAGGGGGTGACGATTTGTTCCTCGACAGGAGCTCCCACCTCAAGGTTGGGATTCACATGAAATAACACAACTTAGACTGACCCTGCTCCCTTGGGGATCGGGGGGGGGGATGGGGACACTGGTAACGTGGGGTGGCCAGAACCTGTCTGTCCTGAGCTAACAGGGGTCCCCACCACCCCAGGGCCTGGCTGGGGGGATCTGACTCTGAGGCCTCCAGATTGGATCAGAGTCGCTAATTAGGACCCAGCCTGCTCCAGAGACCTGTGGGGGGGGGGGGGGGGGGGCGGGGGGGCGGTAGACCCTGGGGGGGGGGGGGGGGGGGGGGGTCTTGTGGTTACAGCGGGGGAGGGGGGGCTGGGAGCCAGGACTCCCGGGTTTTTTCTTCTGCAGTGGGTCATAACTCACCTGTTTGATTTGCAGGCACTGTGACACTTGGACTCAGCCGGGTGGCTCCTGGGGTGTCTGGTAAGTCCTTTTCCTGGGACGCTGCTCCCAGCTGGGTTGGGGTCCCCCGTCTCATTCCCCGGGGGGCTGTTGCGATGATGAATCCGCTAGACTAGAGTCTCTGACCCTCAGTGACGATATTCGCAGCGCCCTGAGCAACGGCCCACACCAGGCCTTCTGGGGCCCCTGATGTGCAGCCCCTGCTAGCCCAGCCCTGGGGTCCTCCCCAGCTCTGCTGGTGCCCCTGGCTCCCGACCCACAGGCCAGTTCCAGAATCCTTGGCACATCCCAGTCTCCCTCCCCCTCCCCCATGTCCTAAAGCCTGGAGTTTGGTCTGACTTCGCTTGGGTTCATGAAGCCTGAATCCTGGCTTAGGGGGTCCCGCCCATTGTCCCGGGGGGAACTGAAAAGCCTCGGTATAAAACATGGATTTTAATCAACTTTTCCATTTGTACTTTGGTAGTTTTCTAAGGAAAGGTGCTTGGTGGACTTTGGCTCCAGCTACTCACCAGCGTCCCCCCGGGCTGCGACGGAGACAGAAATCCAGGGGGATGGGCCAGGCTGCTGGATGGGGAACTGAAAGGAGAAGTGGGGGGACTGCGGAGCTCAGGCCTGCCGCGTGGACAGGAGCCGGCACCCCCAGCAGCACGGGGGGGGAGGGGGAGGACTTGGGCCTGGGCTGTCCCGGCTGTCTCCTCAATAAACAACTGTGGAAGAAATGGGGGGGGGGGGGGGGTTTTTTTTCCCCCCCCCCCCCCCCCCCCGTGAGGGCTGATGGGAAGGGGGCTGGTTACCGGGGTCTCCTCCTGGCCCGGTGCCGAGATGCGGCTGGCCCTGGGGTGGGGCAGGGCTGGACTTACAGGGGCCACCTGCCCATTGGCCTGTGCTGCCTGTGACAGGGTCTTGGGGGGGGGGGGGTGTAATGGGGGGAGCCAGCTGGGGCAGCAGGTGACCCCTGCCCTTTAACCCCTTATGTCTTGATTGACCTCTGCCCCCGTAAATTCTCGTGGAGGGGCCCTAGACGCTTGGATTGCCTCGAGGCACTCTACTTCCTGTCCGTGGGGGACCATTTCCGGTTTGACAAGGTCACTTCCGGGCAATGAGGTTTTTTGTACGCGGGCAAAATCCCCAACAACTTCCGTTCCAGCGTGTTGACGTCAGTCCCCGGGGTGGGCGGGCTCCGTGCCCTACTTCCGGTGCGCTCGCGACCCGCCCTGGGGTGCGGCTGAGGACTGAGTACGTGGGGAGGGGGAGGGGCGCTCTCAATGCCTTGGCAACGCTAAGCGCTGCTCTCCGACTGGGCATGCGCCGCCGCTGCAAGGCCCCGTCCCACCTCTCCCCCTCCCGTTCGGGAATGGGGCTGCCATCGGCGAACGCCTGAGCCGATCCTGCAGTGCGGGGCTTGCGCTGCTGCCAGGGGTCCCCGCTCTCGCAGAGACCGCCCGGCCCAGCCCGCGCGGATCGGCGTGTCTGGTTCTTCTGAGCCGGCCGGCGGCGGCGTATCTAAGTCCCTTTGAGTCATAAGCCGAGCCGGCACTAGGCAAGACACCTACACGAACACGAAGAACCTTTCTTGGGTCTTCCCACTGCCGCACATGCGTATTGAAGGCAGTGGGCGCCATGTTTGCTAAGGGCACGTCTTTTAAATAATATAGGAGCGAAGCCGGGTGCGCAGCCATCTTGGAGGTGGGCTGCGGATAGACCTGTTCCCACCCCCCCCGACCGCCATCTTTGTTTAGGGCAAAATCTGCCGGCTCTTATGGGGTGAAGCTAAGTTGGGGGCCATTTTGGATGTGGTCACGGGCGCTTTTCTCCCTAATACCTAATGGCGCAACTTCCCCCCCTCCGCCATCTTTGTTGTGGGCAAAGAGACTGGCAGCTTGTTATGGCGAGAGGGTCTCTTAAGGACCCAGGGCTGACCCCACTTCCTTAGTTATTGTAGGGTCTGCCCGGTCCCAGCGCCG